AACTTTATCTGAGGAGAATGCTTGACTCTGAATTGTATCTTCTCTTTTCAAATTTATTTCTCATGTCTAGTCCTTTATAATCCATTATACGAACTTTTATGTGTCCTACATTTGGCATGCAGAGCAGTCTCCAAAACCTCAAGGAGTGTGTGTGTGCAGACACATAGCCAATGAAACACTCAATTTTACAAACTCAAACACTACTCTGGAATGCCCTCATACTTACTGTAACAACAAAGTTAAGATGTTTTGGAAAGTGTTTCATCAAAAACAGCATAAAATGGACATTAGCATTCATACTGCATGAAATGGCAAGCACACGGTCATTGGGAAGTGAAATGCAAGCACCATCATTGCTTTCGTGGTACACATAGTATCAGAGATGAAAATATTGAGTATTAGAAACTCCAGAGGTGCATGTAATAACTTTATATATGCACATAAAGTATGACATGAATTTGGATGAGATCAGAAACTCTAAGCACATGCATCACAGTGGAGCCCATAAAATATTAAAGAGAAATGATCTAACAATGTAGGAGGGATCCTTTAGTGATGGAAAAAACAGTGTGAGCATGTTATGGGACAAATTATTGGAAAATATATTGTGCTTCACATATACATGTAGGCAGAGAGAAGTCTGTTAATTCAACTAAACATGAATTTTCAATAGTCTTAGTGTGTTTTCAGTCTCAGTGATTATGACTTAAAAGAAGCTGGTTTTGATAGTTTCATTATAAAAGTGCTTGATTGAATGCACAGGGTTCAATGCATTTTCATGATCTTAAATTTCATAAAGATTGCTCCAGATGTCCATTTGTATGTCAGGAACCATTCTTTGTAGTGTACAAAAGTCCATCAGCAGATAGACTGATGAAATCATGCTGACTTGTGGACCAGTTTTACTTTACTATTTAAGAACTTAATAATTTCCATGATGTTTCCAGAGCTTGAAATCACATGTTTTCCATGATCGTGGGAGACCTGTAAGTGAGCTTATCTACAATTAGTTTTCTTAATGTTGGCCAGTAAGCCAACTAATTGGAAATATCTGTTCATCAAAATCTGGCGTCAGCAGTAAGATCTGCTTCAAAATCACATTTGTGCACAGCATGGCTTTCAGATCCCAAACAGAGTATCTCACTGTCCTTACTGATCAACCTCCCTGCTATAGCTCCTTTTTAAGTGGAGCGGCAAAGAAGTTTAGTAAATGGCTTACAGAGGTGTTTTTGACTCCTTAATATGGATGGAGAAGGAGGGAGAGTTCCTAAAAAGATGGAAGAGGCTTCAGGCCAGGCAGATTGGAGATGGTTTCCAGAGGGGAATATCTTGATATATATATATATATATTTATATATTACTGTGTTAGTATGCGGCTTCATGAGCTTAGCTTCTTAACAATTCGCAAAATTTTAAATCACGACATTGTTTGGTCCAGGTTATTAAATCATCTGGTGATCAGCTGACCCCTTACCACATGCATCAAAAAGAGGTTTGATGTTGAAATAGCCGATAGATGTTCTTCTTGCATGTAAGCATGCACATGCAGTAGAATCTAAAGTCAGTTTGCCATTTATTATCCTCAAATTGTGATGGAAAACATTATCAGGCTCTACACAAACTTGCCGGAGTTCATGTCTATAGAGCTCCATTTCCTGACGTCCTGATTAAGTCAACATATTTTATTGAACCTGGAACAACATTCCTGTCTGAGAATTTAATCCTAACTATATCCCTACCCCTACCCCAATATACCTAAACCTACCCATAGGTTATCCCTAAAATCAGAGGGAAATGGTAGGTGAATAACACTGATGTAGAAGCACCTAACCCTGATTGTAAGCCTAAACTTGACAGAAACTGTAAACTTCCCTGATTGGTTGATTGAAATGTTATTCCAGGATAAAAACAAAAAAAATGTTGATCCAGGAACATGTTGCACTTGGTGAAATCAGCCACATAATAAAAATTAAGTTTTGGTAAATCATAATTATGAGATAAAAAGTTGACATTTGAGATATGAAGTCATTATTAGATGAAAACACGAAATTATGACAAAAATGTGTCACAATTGACTTAATATCTCATAATTTCAACTTTTTGTTATCTTTTATGTTACTTATAATTATGGTGTATAATTCTCATAATCTTGTAATTTCAATGTTTTTGTTATGATTTTTACTTTATCTCATAATTTTGACTTTTCATCTCATAATTATGAATTATTGTAATATATCATAGTTGTTCTTAAGCTGTAGAAATTTGACTGCTGCTTTCATTAAAACAAAAGGGGACAACAAATAATAAGAAATTCTTGTTTAAATTGTCAATAAAAATGTAGTAAAATAATGTATTAAATTAGAGAGATATGAAATAATAGCCTTTTCCTCTGTTCTCCAGAGTTTTTGGCCCTTTTGTTTAATTGTTTGCGAATGGTTTGGGCTACACGTCCTCAAGAATAGGACACCCTGAAGGATTACACATCCATCTTGGTAATGTTTAATGTGCATCTTTCTCAGGTTGATTTCTCTGGAACTCAGCACTCGGGGGAGCATTTTTAGACTCCTCACTCCTTCCTGTCTTGACTCAATAGGTTTAGCAGGAAGGTTTTAGAATCCTGTAGGAATTCCACAATGTGCTGGATCTGAAGAGCATGCTGAAAAGCATATCGTGTGTGTGTGTGTGTGTGTGCGTGTGTGTGTGTGTGTGTGTGTGTGTGTGTGTGTGCTAAGAACCTTCTCTTGTTCTTGTTCTTGTTGCATCACTGTCATGGCTCAGTCAACTGTTTGTGTTACAGCTCACACTTTTCCTTTAATTATCACTGACTTCCAAATGGCACTGTTACGTAAAGAAATGCCCACTTCCTTCCTTCGTTTACAGAAACAAGCCCCACGCTTAGTAAGAAAATCATACACACAAATATATGCACGCCGATGAACTGACTGGAGTGTGTTCATGTGTATGTGTGCGTGCAAGACAGGAAGAAAGAGTTGGAGAAAAAAAATAATATTATGCAAAAATAGGTTGTAATTCTCCACAACAACTGTTCCTCCTTGTCATTTAGCTTTCTGTGGGTGGCCACAGTTACCAATGCATTCTCCTGTGACGCACATGCTGGAGAGCTGTGAAGATTTTTTTTCCTATACTGTTTCGGAATTTTAGATTGAACTGTTTTTACATGAAACTTGACAGGGCACATTTTTTTATTCAACCTTTTCACTCTTACAAAACAGAACTGTACTTTTAGCGTGTTTATAGACTACCATTTTTAAGAAAATAATACTTTTATCCAGCTAGGATGCATTCAATTGGTCAAACGTGAGAGTTTGTTACAACAAAAAAACACAAATATTTTCACAACGGTTTTCAAGGGGTTTTTTTTAGCTCTAAATCAGAAGTAGAATGATTTCTGAAGGATCATGACACTGAGGACTGGAGCAATTGGCTGCTGAATATTAAAGGAGAACTCCGGCGTAAAATGAACCTTTGGTCTAATAAAACATTGGTACCTATTTAACCGTTCTCTGAGATTTGCTTTCATGATAATCGCTAGTTAATACCACTAACAAGACTCAAAATAGCCCCACACTAACACAGTAGCATAATGAGGGTCCCTACATGCAAAACGAAGCTTTGAGAACTTTGTAAATGTACAGACCGTTTAATAAGAAGATAGTTTATAAAGACAGTTCACTTCGATACAGACAGAAGCCATCTTTGGAAAACAGTCTCGACTAGTCAAACACAGTCGACAGTTTACTGAACTTCATACAGTTCAGCTCACTTAGCACGCTGTTTGTGTGGGGCTATTTTGAGCCTTGTTAGTGGTATAAACTAGTGTTTTCTTTTTACTTATTAAATGCCCCCATTACTAGCGACTAGCGTTATACACTAAATCGTTTTTAGAGATAAAACTCTTTACATTGATTCGATTATTATGAAAACAAATCTCAGAGAACGGTTGACTAGGTACCGATGTTTTATTAGACCAAAGGTTAATTTTGCGCCGGAGCTTGGTAAACATAACTTTGTCTGTCAAAAACATTTTTTTTTTAAAATACTTATTTCCGACCTCAAACTTTTGGAAGATAAAGTATATATTTTACTTTATATACGGACGCTATATGGTCATGTGACAAAAATGTAATATACTACTGTTTAAAACTCGTTTAATATGTAAGACCATAGGATAATGCCTATTCTTTCACGTACTATTTTTAAAGAATAGTGTGTAGTATGTAGTAAATGTCCAGTATTCACTAAATGGTAAGCTTGTATTCCATCGCAAACATAGCCAGATTGAGTGCTAATGTCTGGGTTGACGTTTGCTCCTCAGACACTCCTTTGACTTTTGACCTCTGACCTTTCACACGCCTGCTTTTCATTAACACCACCAACCATTTTAATTGATTTTTTTTTTCTTCAAATTTTGTCTGTTTATTTGAACTGTTCATAACCTGATCATTGTTTTCTCTCATTTTATCAAACACATTAAGTCAAATTGTTTTGGTTTACCACACTGCAAATCACAAATCCAGCAGTGACTCTTTCTCAAAGTGTATATATGGATGACATACGCTTTTGAATGAACCACTCGTTCATATGGTTCAAATTACAGGGTATTTTATGCAGACACAGAACAAAACATCTTTTTTATTATTTATGAAATGTTGAATGGTTTAAATGATATATCCAGGTCTGTATTAGATGTTTTTTTTTCATATATTGGGTTTGTATTGTATTGAATAGGCTGATCAAATATGCCAAATTTGTCTCTGTGGGATGTGCATTTATGTGATCCACTGGTTCCCATTGCCCTCTAGTGTTTGGAGTTAGAATTACAGCCTCATAGGAATCCCTTCTGCCAAAATAAATAAATAAAACTACAATGCTTTGATGAAAGCCAAAGTAGGGGAGTTTGGACTTGATATTATTTTTTAAAGCCTGCTTAACTAATGACCATAATTAACATGAACATTTCATTTTTATTTTGTTTTCAGAGATGATTTTGATGAGGAAGGTTTCTGCCAGCCATACAGAGGGATTGCGTGCGCTCGCTTCATAGGAAACAGGAGTATCTTTGTAGACTCGCTGCAGATGCAGGGAGAGATTGAGACCCAAATCACAGGTAGTCCACCAAAGAAACATTCAATCCTTCCAAAATGAGCTTTTTCCTGTGTCCCTGACTATATTGTACAGTTCAACCGAAACGCAGCTGATTAAATCAGTTTGAAGCCTTAGATAAAACAGCTAGCTTGTGTACTCTTTAAATTACCCTGTAAATCCCATGCTACGGGAATATAGTATCATTCAATCAATATCATTCAGTACCATCTTATTTATGTGCCATGGTATTACATCAGATATCATCACCATACTACAGCACTGCGAACCTTTCTCTTTTTTAAGAGAGAGTTTGAGGTTATTTTTTCCATAGCTAAATCTTAGTATCATGCACATGTTAACCGGCCTAAGCCTGGCTTAAGTTTTAAATTTGAATTGTTTTTTTTTTTTGTTTTCTGTGAGAAAGTTTTCAATTGTAGCCATTTAAGAACACAGGCATTCACTGTGGTTAGAGCGAGCAGTCAATTTGTTTTTGAATCACACAACTTCTTTCGAAACCGCAACAGTTCTCTGGAACTTTAGTCTCTTTGTTGTTAGTATGTAAGATATAATTTCCCTCGAATACACTAGACCAGTGCGTAGCTTGTTGGAGTCCACACAATGGCTCATTCCTGTTTTCGAATCTGGAGGCAACCACTGTATAAAAGACTTCTGTTTTTTTCCCCAGCGGCATTCACTATGATTGGCACCTCCAATCACCTTTCAGATCGCTGCTCCCAGTTCGCTATTCCCTCCCTGTGCCATTTTGCCTTCCCAACATGTGACCGCAGCTCTGGCATGGACAAACCTCGAGATTTATGCAAGGACGAGTGTGAGATTCTGGAGAACGACCTGTGTAAGACTGAGTACATCATCGCTCGCTCTAACCCTGTCATCCTCAAACGTCTCAAACTGCCCAACTGTGAAGACCTTGCCGCTTCGGACAGCCTTGATGCTGCCAACTGCATGAGAATAGGCATTCCAATAGCTGAGACCATTATTAAAAGTAAGTATTTTGTATAGTTAAAAAAAAAAGATTTGTCATTTTATAGAAAACTAAATAAATTCTGTTTGTTTCTCCTATTTTAGGCCACAAATGTTATAACAACAGTGGTTCGGACTACCGCGGCACAGTCAGCGTGACTAAATCTGGTAGACAGTGTCAACCATGGAACTCGCAGTATCCCCACAGTCACACCTTCCTGGCCATGCGTTACCCAGAGCTCAATGGGGGACATTCCTATTGTCGCAACCCTGGCAACAAGCACGACGCTCCCTGGTGCTTCACCCTAGATGAGAGCGTGCGCATGGAGCTCTGCGACATTCCTCCATGTGGTGAGACGCCCTGCTTATATTGATATTAATCAAACAACAAAAGAAAAGGAGAGAATCATTCACTGTATACTGCAGTGTTGTTGTCGAGACCAGCTCACTCGAGTCCGAGTCGAGACCAGAGAGGTCGGATAACCTAAGGTTGGGTCTGAAACCAGACTTAAAGATATCTTTAAGAATATGTTAAATATTTGGTGGTAACAATAAAATTGGCACCATACTTACTCAAACAGTAAACCAAATATACCATGGAATCATGTATAATGGTAAAAAGGCCACATAGTGGTGTAAAGGTCATTTTATTACAATTATGACTTAAAATGATTACAATCAGTAAGTGCTATTTCACATAACATTACTGCAGACAACTTCTGTGTGGCTCTTACATGCAAACTGAATTATGGATGATAAGGCAGACATTTTCGATACATAATTGAGCTAGAGGCTCCACATCACATCTGACCTGGGTCCAGTGTTGGGTGTATCTAATTACTAAGTAATTAGTTACTGTAATTTAATTACTTTTCCCTTGAAAATGTAAAGTAAGGGATTACTCTTAATTTATCTGTAATTTAATTACAGTTACTTCTGATGTAATTTAGGTAAATAGCTACTGTGTATAGATCAATCCGATCTCACAGCGATTCGTATGCATTTTATGAGGTGTCTAAATATTACGACCGCACTCGTAAAAATTCGTATGAATTATTGTAAAATATGTATGAAAAAAATGTGAAATGTCATGAGATCAGACATAGAACAGTAGTGGGTTTAACATCAAAATGTATTGTCTGATGCTAAAAAGTATGTTTTTATAATGTAACCTTCTCCACCTTGGTCTGTTTAAGGATAGTTCATGCAATTTTATAGTATTTATTTCAAAGAATTAAAACAGATTCATGTCTATCCTTGTATTATTCAGCTGGTTGAGATTGATATGGGATTTGTAAAGTAATTAGTAAGTAATTAAATACTTTTTAGAGAGAGTAATTAGTACAGTAATCTAATTACACTGTTGAAGAGGTAATTAGTAACTAGTAATTAATTACTTTTTTAGAGTAACTTACCCAACACTGCCTGGGTCCTGCTGCATTTGCGTCCCGCAGACGTTATAGTCTCAAGTCATCCGCAGTTGCACACAAGAAAGTCAGCAGTCATTGGACGTTTCAATCAAAAACAATTTAAAGAAATAATAACATACAACAAAAATCATGACATATTTTGAATGGGACTCGAGTGACTCAGGAATAAGTTTGAGTCCTAATATGTTCGAGACTCCGAGTACAAGTCAATTCCGAGTCAAAATGCACACGAGTCCATGACAAGACCGCTTTTTACCACAACGTGCCGCTTTTTACCACAACGAGAGCAGACGAGAGGCGACAACACAGACGGATTTCACCAGCGTCGGGTTGGTGTGTTCCGACTGGGTGCCAGCCACTGATGGAACATGCATGTAATGAGATTGTGTTTTATACACTATTATGATAGTATTCCTTTCTGAATATAGCCATTCTTGGGTAATCTGTGGATGATTTTACTCCAAAACATGTTTTTGTTGTCAAAACAGAATTTTCATATTTAGTTAACCCTCTGGGGTTGTTCGTTTCAGAGTCACACTTGGGGTGTTCGGGTCCAAATGGTTTTGCTCTCTTGATGTTTTATAGATTCACCCCTTCACTGTTGTGTGCTTTTTTTCAAGATCGTGGCTGATTTGTAGATTGTACGCACAAAAAAACCTCAGTATTTTCACATTTTTGCCAATTTCCCATTAATTTTCCATGTGGGTCCATTTGGACCTGAACACCCCAAGTGTGACTATTTTTTTTTTACAACCATTTAGACTATTCACATCCTGTCCCCAATTTTTTTGGGTGTTCAAATACCAAATACCAACAAAGTCACCAAATTTCGGACCATTCCGAGGAAGCTGTGATTTAAAAAAAAAAAAAAAAAATTCAATTATTCGGGTCCATTTGGGCCGAACAACCCCAGAGGGTTAATTGCTTTTTAATGTATTGCTTGTCGTCAGATTTGCCAAAGCATGGGGGCAGCAGTATGGGGATCCTGTACATCCTGGTACCAAGTGTGGCTATACCGCTGGCCATCGCCCTGCTGTTCTTCTTCATTTGTGTGTGCCGAAACAACCAGAAAGCCTCACGTCCACAGGCACCACGCCAGCCCAAACCCGTCCGTGGCCAGAACGTGGAGATGTCCATGCTCACGGCCTACAAACCAAAGGTGAGATGATCAGAACTAACCCTGAAGGTGCATCTACACCGAGTGATCATTTGATTTTTTCAACACTAAAACCCGCCACCTACAATCTAGGTGCTAAATGCTAGGTTGAAGTCATTAATGATTGGCCTAATTCCTTCAGTGAATTGGGTGGTAAAACAATACAGACCACACGTGAATATAAACAACACTATCAGTGCACCTATTTAGACTTTTATTCTTATAATTTTTGTCTATTGGAATTGTGGGGCATTCCCATAACGTTTGAATTACTGTGCATTCCTGGGTGATGGGGTGGGGGTTAAGGGGGCTGCTCAAAACAGAGGCAAAATGGCAGGAGGGATGAGCATATGGAGGCAATCTCTTCCAGACCCAGAGAGGAATCTAAAAATAATAATTATATTGTTATCATTCTGCTTGGATCATTTAAAGCAGATTCAAATGAGATTTTCGCTTGAAAATAGTTTTTCCCTGCTTTTTCGTCTTGGTCACTGATTAAAGTGACATTTTTACCAACAAATATTTTGAAGAGATGATGCTAGTCCCAGTCAGTTCTAGTGTTAATCAGACCTTTTGACACCATGAAGTGCTGTTTGTATCTATAACACATTGAGACCTCTCATCTACAGTCTCAGCTGCAGGCCACAGGTCATACAAAGGTCATACACTCACTCAAGTAATATCCAAAACAGGGATGAGACATGTTTAGCCTCAGGCAGAGTTGACGCTAACACGAAACAGCTGCTTCTTTCAACAACAACAAAAAAGACTCCTCTTTTAAACGACAGTATTCATGTCACGTTTTTTTATTTCCTGTTTCATGATCCAGAGTCTTGTCCATACCAATCACACAGCATTATGGATGTTATTTTACATCTATCACGCATATAGGGGATGAAAGAGTAATAGAATCAGAGTGACTAATGTGTAAGTGGTAAGACCACGTCTGCCAAGCACGTAAATGTACAAACAGATTTTATGCATGTCTGTTGTCAACGGTTGAGGTTGTAACGTCTTGTTTTTCAGCAACAAAAAAAATAAGGCTACTATCAATTTAAACTAACAAAAAAAAGATCAACCTGACCACCCCATACTTACCTTTCTGTTTCCTTCTGTTCTCTAGAGTAAAGCCAAAGAGCTTCCTCTGTCTGCAGTGCGCTTCATGGAGGAGCTGGGCGAGAGCTCCTTTGGTAAGGTCTACAAAGGTCACCTGTACTTGCCAGGCATGGAACACGCCCAGCTAGTGGCCATAAAAACACTGAAGGACATCTCAAGTGCACAAAACTGGGGGGATTTCCAGCAGGAAGCATCTGTCCTGGCAGAACTTCATCATCCCAATGTGGTTTGTCTTCTGGGTGTCGTGACCCAAGAGCAGCCCGTCTGCATGCTCTTCGAGTTCCTGGCCCAAGGGGACCTCCACGAATTCCTCATCATGCGCTCTCCCCATTCGGATGTGGGCTGCAGCAGCGACGAGGACGGCACCGTCAAGTCCAGCCTCGACCATGCGGACTTCCTGCACATGGCCATTCAGGTTGCAGCCGGGATGGAGTACCTCGCCAGCCATTTTTTCGTCCACAAAGACCTTGCGGCAAGAAACATCCTGGTTGGGGAGCAGCTCCACGTCAAAATCTCGGATCTAGGCATGTCGAGAGATATCTACGCCTCTGATTATTTCAGAGTCCAACCCAAAACGCTCCTTCCTATTCGCTGGATGTCAGCGGAGGCCATCGTTTACGGGAAGTACACCACAGACTCCGACATTTGGGCGTTCGGTGTGGTTCTGTGGGAGATCTTCAGCTTCGGCCTGCAGCCCTATTACGGTTTCAGCAACCAGGAAGTGATCGAGATGGTGCGGAAAAAGCAGCTGCTGCCCTGCCCGGAGGATTGTCCCCCTCGCATGTATGCTCTGATGACGGAGTGCTGGCAGGAGGGTCCCGCTCGCAGGCCCAGATTTAAAGACATACACAGCCGACTCCGTGCTTGGGAGGGTCTGTCTTCCCACGCCAGCTCCAGCACACCATCTGGAGGCAACGCCACCACCCAGACTACCTCTCTGAGCGCCAGCCCCGTCAGCAACCTCAGCAGCCCGCGCTACGCCGGATACATCTACGGAGCTCCACAGAACCTCCCACCGGGACAAATCGCGGGCTTCATGGCGGCGCCGATGCCACAGAACCAGCGTTTTATACCTGTGAACGGATACCCTATCCCACCTGGCTATGCTGCCTTCCCTGCAGCCCATTTCGCCACATCTCAGGGCCCTCCACAGGTGGTGCAACACTGCCCTCCGCCAAAGAGCCGGTCGCCCAGCAGCGCCAGCGGCTCAACCAGCACGGGTCACGTGACCAGCGTCCCCTCCACAGGCTCCAATCATGACGCCAACACACCCTTGCTTTCTCATTGTGTCACCCTGACACCTATGACAGCAATGACGGGCGGCACAGTGCCAGTTTTTGGACATTTTGCACAGAAGGCCATGCAAATAGACCAAAGTCAGGCAGCACTGCTGGCTGACACTAACAGACTGATGTACAGTGAATCCATCATTACAGCCGATTTGTGAATACATGATGTTTTGTCCTGTGTATTGATAATAATTATTGATATTTTAATGTTTTTTTGTTTCTTCTTCCTTGTAAATATAAAATAGCCTGAACAAAATGCGAAAGTTTATATTTTAATGTCGTTTTATAAACGTGTCTTAAAGGAAACTTGTATATTCACATATTCTCTGTGAAGCTTCATGCCACTCAATGTGACTAAACGTGGCCTTAAAATGTCCATTTTTTTTTTCAAGCATTGATGATGCCCTTTCAATGTTATTTTCGACAGAGATGTTGCTTTGTCATCCCGTTTGACTCCTTTTTCATTCGTCGACGACTTGAAAACTTCCGGAAGACTTATGAATGCCTTGGTCTCTGTCTCGTCATAGCATTTTGGACTTATTGAATTCGTTTCAATGCATTAATATTGCATTGAAATCTAACCCTAAAGAAGAATTAAGGGAATCATTTTGCAAATATATATCACCAATGCCTTAATATTAAAAAAAAAGATGTTGCTTTAATTATGGCCACCATATGTGCCTTCATTTTATTAGGAATCCAGGCATGTGTACTTGTGGGAGATAATGTGTTCTGTGAGATTCTTCTATTACTGTGGTGTTATTCAAATGATTTCAAACCACGAGGCACATCAGAGCGACGTCCGAAAGCTTAGGCAGCTGACTTGTTGCCCTGTAAGCCAATGACTTCTAGGACAACACATGTGTTTTAAAGGTGCCTCTTACAGCAAAGACCACAATAAATACCACAATACTAATTTCAGTCAAAACTAACTGCAAACCGCAACTTTCTGGTGTCATTTTTTTCTTTTTAGTTCAGCTTAATTCACATGCACATGATAGTGGGATATCATAAGCAGATGAAGGTTTCAAGACAGGATGTGTCACAATCATTGGATTGGGACATGGTTTTTTGCCTTCCTACTTTTGCATACAGGATTGTTATATCATTTTTTGGTCATTAAATGCTGCCTGTACGCCCATAATATAGCTGAAATTCAGGCAACCAGAAAACATTCACAAGGTTTCCTTGTATACTCTATATGTGCCTTACTCAAGAGCATACAAACTGCCAGGATAGCTTTTAAATCATCTAAATGTGTCGGAAACTTTTCACACCACTGTTTGTCAAAGCATATGTGAAATCTATCTTATTAATGATGATGCAGAACTTTTTCTAACATGAACTCCTCACTACCTATAGAATGTAATGCCTAAAAATTCCTCTAGAGGTCAGTGTCAATCTGCGACTCTGATTGAATGAAGTTCTATTTGTCTCACGGTAAAACTGTATGTGCCTGCTATTTCTTAGCTTTCATTTGATGTTTGTTAACTTTCTTCTCTCTCCGAGATTGTAGCTCGTTTAATCTCTTGACATTTCACGGAAATTTCACGGATTAAACAGATTTGATCATTTTTAGCAAGCAGCTCTATGTCATGTTCATTAGCATTTTGGTTTGTTGCTATGCAACTGTTTATTTCAAAGACACTCTTTTCCTGTGTTGAAGACAATCAAGAATTAATCTTTTATGCAGGGTAGGCCTACAGTGTTTTGTGAAGACATGATTGCTTGTGACCTATAAAATTGATCCTTTTGGACAATCATGATACGTCATGACATTTCATGAACAGACGTTATGCACGAAAAACTAATTTGTAGATCAATGGTTTATTTTTATATGATTTGTCACTATTTTTCATCAATATTGCAGTCTTATTATTGTACGTCTGAACATACAGTGTGTTGACATTATAAAAGCCACTTAAAGAAACAGCTTAGTTCAATGTCTTTTTTCCTGACGTTCTGATACAATCTCAAATGAGCGTACGTCATTAAAATATTTTTCAAGATTAAAGTTTGTATTGGCTTTATGCACATCTGCACTACTTCCTGAACTTAAGCCAGCTCCTTGTTTCCTGTCAGCCATTATTGGCCAAACTTGATTAAGTGTGTCTGATTATTGTTGCCGTGACTACTGAGGTCAGGCACACCTGAATTAATCAATTCTTCCAATAATGGCAGACAGGAAACAAGGAAGTAGTGCAGCTGTGCATAAAGCCAATTGCATCCAACAATTTATTAAATTCATCAGTGTAATTAACTACCAAAATTAATAATTTTAATTACCATACTATTATGTTAGCCTACATGTATGAGTTTCTTCTGTTGAACACAAAGATCTTTTAAAGAATGTTAGTAATTAGACAGTGATGAAAAAATACTATGGAAGTCAGTGGGTGCCATCAACTGTCTGGATACCAACATTCTTCAAAATATCATCTTTTGTGTTCCACAGAAAAAAAGAAATTCATACAGGTTTGGAACAATATGATGGGGAGTAAATGATGACTATTTTAATTTTGGAGTTAACTATTAAAGCAGTAGTTAGTCACCCCCACGTCATCCAAGATGTCAACGTCTTTCTTTCTTCAGTCGAAAAGAAATTAAGGTTTTTGAATTTAATGGACTTCATTGGGAACCAAACTGTTCAAGGTCCTAAAGATAGTTTCATTGCAGCTTCAAGGGGCTTTAAACGACACCAGAAGATGAATAAGGGTCTTAGCAAAACGATTGCTCATTTCAAAAAAGATTTGTTCATTTTGATTAACAAGTTCGAACAGGAGAGTCACGAACGCGCATCACAGAACAGAGCAAGGCGAGCAATTGTGATTATAAAACTTAAACTTTTTCATTTTTTTTTTTAAATGACCGATCGTTTCACTAGATGAGACCCTTATTCATCGTCTGGTGTCGTTTAAAGCCCCCTGAAGCTGCAATGAAACTGTCATTTGGACCTGGAACCGTTTGGTTCCCACTGAAGTCCATTATATGGTGAAAATCCTGGAATGTTTTAATCAAAAACCTTAATTTCTTTTCGACTGAAGAAAGAAAGACATTGACATATTGGATGACATGGGGTTATCAGCAAAAGGTTTTTTTTTTTTTTTTTTTTTTTTTTAAGTGAACTACTCCTTTAAATATGGGTTATTGCAGCGCTTTCAACATTTGCTACCAGTAGAGGGCAGCGTAGGGTTAGTTTGGTTTCAAACATCAGAATATTCTAGGAAAGTGCGCAATGACTAGGAGACTTCTATAAGTATCTGTGTTTGTCTCTGTATTCATGTGAATGTTTTATATTATAGAACTGTACATATTTCAAAGGTACGTCAAAAAAATTGTCCTTGGCATTGGATAAACAAATCAAAGGCTAACAAGTCCAGCATGTTTGCCAAAAGAAATGACGTGCACATGACTTTATGATTACTCCCATACTCCATCCCAACAAAGAGAGAGAAAAAAACCCTGACCTTGAACACTGAGCATTCAGCATACAGAGGAGACGGGTTTGATGTTGGGAATGTTTTTGATCAGTTCTCTCCGGTTTCTTATCTGGAACAGGAATGGCCATCCAGTCTCTGCCTCTGGAATGCTAATCCACAACACCAAGGCAATGTGTGTCAAAAGTGAAATTTATGAGACAAACATAAAACAGACATATTCATGTCCATGTTTTTGTGAGTCTTTTAAAGTATTAACTGAATATTTTTCCAGTTATGGACACAGTTATGGCTTATTTCATGGTCAGAATTGATTTGCTTTAATAAGGAATAACCCCATTGAGGAAGCACACTTTCTTAGCATGGCAGATATTTAAACATAGGTTAATAAGCATAATTACATATATGATTATAATGACTTCTAAAGGGATCCATGTGATATGCAAATAGGGCTGTGTATGAAAGACACTTATATGACTGGATTTGAATCATAAGACACCATAATGGCAGGCAGATGTGGTCCAGGTGTGCGTTTGACGGTGGGCCAGGGGAGGTTCTGGGCATGATGAGAGCAGTGAACCTCAGGATGGGTATCCCAGGTGTGGGTGGAGAAAAAGGATTGTCCAAAAAAAATGTGTTAATGCTTCCACTATGGAAATGTAATAATGAAACATAATCTGGGTAAAAAGAAAAGTCTTCTTATTAAGTCTAACTTAATAGGGTTATTAGGGTTAACTCTTTTTATAGGCTACATACATTTTTGAAATCTGAAAAATGTCTGGAATTCTATAAAGATGTGTCTATGTTGTGTTCAAATGTGAAAGTATAAACACTTAGTTAATAATGTTTTGTCAGAAAGTCAAACATTGGGTCAGATTAAGCTAAATGCTGTTTATTTATCTTATTCCTCAAATTATTGCTGGAATAGGCTACCAAGCTTCACTGAGTGCCTACACACAAGCACACACCAGGTAAAGTTCAAGAACTTTGTCACATCACAACCCCACCCAAATGAAATATAGATGAAGGCCTAAAATTTTGATGAGCCCCCAAACCATAACTTGGCAGTCCTGTCTGTGTGCATTCCAAATAATACTTTCAGTTTCCTCTCAGATTAGCTTCACTTGTTTTTACAAGAGACAGTGAGAAACAGCAAATCCTTCTGTTATGAGTAAGCATGATTATGAGATTAAGTGAAAACATTAGCATAGTGCTAGCAAATGCTACAGATGAAATGTGCTCTGATCATGCTTATGTCTATGTGTTCCCCCAATACGATTACACAATGCTGTTTAGACCCTACTGATTTATATTATTATTTTGTGTTCCACAAAAGAAATAAAAGTCATACAGATCTTATTTACAATGACAAGTAAATGATGGAAAAGTAAATGATTATCACTTATGACGTACTCTCATCCCAAGGCGTCACCTTTTGGCCATGCTTCAATATTCAACGCTTTAGGCGCCCTTTAGCGTCAGTTACATGACGCAATCCTACTGCGTCATCTGACTGAAGGCCATTGCACACTGAATACGAAATTTTTGTATTTTAGTAATTTTTCGTGTTCGTCTGCCTAAAAATTCGTCACGCACAGAAACCTTGCACACTCCGATGTCCGAGTCCGATGCGTCCGATGTCCGAGTCCGATCCCTAGATTTGAAATATGTAAATGAATATCCTCTTTCTTTGAAGAAAGTGCCAGTCTTTTGGTTGGTACAACGGAGTCTCCCTTAAGAGCTGACCTAATTTACATCAATAATTACATCAGCTCTCTATTCCTTCCAAGTCACTGTGGTTAAGCCATGGAAATTCAACATGTGACAGGTAACCTGAAGACGATCAGTTGCTCTCCACAAATAAGTGCTGTTCCTTGAGGGCCTACTTTAGAGGAACTTCATAGTTGTTTTGAGTTTGTGCCGGGATGTGTGTGAATAGTGAGATGAGAGATGAGATATGGGCTATTATGAACGAGTGAGTCATATGAAAGCATTATATAAACTTGTTCCTATAGTCAGTTTGGAAAAGTAGGTATCTCTTCACAAATATGAAAGAGGAACAACAGAAAACCAAAGAGTGTGAGGAGGACAAAAGCATCCCTAGCAATTAATTAATCAAATTATTTGTAACATCCACCATACTTATCTTAGTCACGGTAGACAAATTCCATATTAAATGATATGGAAATGAAAACAAGAACTTCAGTGTGTGATCCTCAGTAGTTTTAGTGTATGTAGCATGATCGTGTATGATGTTGTTTTTCTCTGTAACCATTTGCAAAGTCAAGTGATACCTAGTATTTTAAATTCTGTTCTAACATCCTCATTGACATGCAACATTGAAATGGTACCTGGTGTTTTTTTTTTTTTGCTATTATTCAGGCAATACACTGCCAACTTTCGTGGGTTTGTGTGGTTCCATTTCAAATTCAGCATTTCAAATTGTGTTGTTCCCTATTAGTATGAGCAATTACTTCAAGACTGTGACTCAAAATTTAACAGACCTTAGTTGTAGCCAAGATTCATCACAAAGGTGATTGATTGGTCGTTGATGAGCATGGCACAATAAACAATCAAAGATGTTTCAATTTTTGCTTATGATAAAATAGCCAATACAGAGTGATTGAGGCATGAAGTCATTTTGTAGGCAAACCTAAAAATTGGCATCAAAATGGTTCCTTCGACAAAAACAAAACAAAAACAAACAAAACAAAAAAACAATAGAATTTTGGGATTATATCACAAAAAAAAGCTCTAGCTGTTATCAACAAAAGTTTATGGCACTTACACGTTTTGTCTATTAAGATAATTTTCACAAGAGAACAACTTTTAAGAATTTTTTTGAAGCCTAAATGCAATCACCAGAAGCAAAAAGCAAAAGCTAAACGAACCACCACTAAGCTTCTGACAACTCTTTTTTTATCTAAAAAAAAAAAAAAAAAAAAACATTTTTCCTAAAAGTTTGAGTTATAGAATAGTTTGTAAGAGCGTGATTATAAGGAAAAGGCTGTAAAATTGGACTAAGCTTATACCTGTTCGGTTTGATGATGTTTGAGGTCCCTGAAAGCCTCTGTAGACCACAGACCTTAGCCATTTAACCAAAAACCCATTCAGAAAACCTATTGAGTTTGGGACAATGGAACCGGGAGTGCTAAAATGCTAACCCATTTCCAGGTTTTGGCCTACAAAAACTGCATCATCCCTACAGCACTTGGTCTCAGATGGCAAAACTGTGACAAATCACACAGCATAGGTCCAAAAATGCAATATTTCTTCAATGTTGTGAAGTCTGGTAAAAGGAAACAAAGTACATTCAAGTGGACAAA